CAAAATCGGGAATTTTCTCAAAATATGCCAAAATCGGGAATTTTCTCAAAATATGCCAAAATCTTGATATTTGAGTAGCATCTATTTTTAATGCATTTACAAATACTTTGATTTGAGAATAATGTTTCTTATAAAACAAAGCCGTTTCCAACCATGTTTTAAATGAATGGTAACATGTTGTGAGTTTAGAGTTCATATAATCCCTTAATAACATGTTATTTGAACAGGTTTTGGTATTCAGTTGGCATTTTATTACGATTTTTGGTGAAATAAATTTATTTATTTTTAAGAAATTTGTTTTCTGGATTATTTATTGTAAAAATATGTCAAAATCGGGAATTTTCTCAAAATATGCCAAAATCGGGAATTTTCTCAAAATATGCCAAAATCGGGAATATTCGGGAAAATAAAAGTGGTATATTTTTACTCTATAATAACCCCTAAGACTAAATAGATGTTCTTCCCGAGCATTTGATTAACTAATTTCAATCGGGAATTCCCGAAGAATCTCGTCTTTACTAATTGCTATTAAAATTTGATAAACTAAATTTGGTATTATAATGGAAACAGTAATATTTAATGGTAAATAATATATCAGTATTTATAAATAGTTTATAAATTATTTAAATATAAGTTTTACACTAATTGCTGTTTGTTCTTGAAGCATGTTATAAAATCAGTTATTTTAATAATATAATAGTCATGTGCTTATTTTAAAACTATATATTAAATAATATGTAACATTATTAATTAAAATCATGCAATTTCATATTCTTGTTATATCATTTATACATATCAAGTATATTTATAATAAATATTTATTATAAGTAAGTATTGTATGATAGTTATAATTTTATATAATAATTAAATTAATGTAAAAATTCTGCTGATTACACAATCTAATTTAACTTAAAATAGTTATAATTAATTTAATATATTAAACATAATTGTGTTTTTAAAGTGATCTACTTCTAAAATTATTTGTTCAAAATGTATCCCTTTAAAAATGTAATCAAAAATTTAATAGAATTCACATTAATGTGAAATTAAACGTTATATTTAATAGTTATATTTTAAAACCTAATTTTTAAAATTTAACATAAATTGTATTTAAAATTTTTTAGAGCAAAATCTTGATTACTAATTTAAAAGGTAAATTAATGCATAATGGAATGTAATTAAAATTTTACAATTACGGTAATGTTATTTGCAAAATAAAATCTATTACTGATACTATTTTTGTTATGATATTACATTATAATAGAAATTATACGAAAATTCAACAACAATTTTACTGTAATTTTATAAAATATTGCAAATATGATTTATATTGATCATTTGTGTTTTATATAAATTAAAATTTAGTGTTGACCAAACTTTCTAACAAATTTCTCGGTCCATGGGAAACCCATTATATTCTATGGGAATCGTTTGTGACGTTATATATGACAAAACCATGGTATATTAACTTAATTATTCAATATTTTGAATATATATTTTGAGAAATTTGTCCAGAAGAAATTTTTTTGTGCCAACACTATAAAAATTGGTTTGTAAATACTGAATATATTAATTATTAAAAGTGAATAAAATGAAAATTAAAACAACATAATTCAATCAACAACAAAATAAAACTAATTTTTAAAAATTAATTAAACTGTCAGTCATTTTATTTTCAAATTGACGTAAAATAAAAATAATAAATAGATCTTGTACATATACAATATATGAATTAAAAATCTATATTTAAAAGCATATTGAAAATGTAATTAAAATTAGTAAAATAGAGTTTAAAAATATATTCTTTATGTTTAAGACTAAAATGAGTATTATATGTGATTTAATACTAATATGATTAGAAAAACCAATTTATAAACTCTATATAAATTCTTAAAATATATATATTTAAAGATCAATTAGAGATAAAATGGCATTTGGGTTATATTACACTCAAATGAATTGACTCTTTTGGGTTGAATTACAAAAATTATCCCAAAAAGTGATCACAATATGATTGTATGATTAAATAAAAAGTATTGCTTTGTCAGTAGCGCGTAAATTACATGATTACTATAAGACATAACTATACTTTACATACATTTTTTCGAAAGCAAATTAAAGCAATGATTCCCACAAATAAAAGGATAATTTTCGGTAAAATAGATTAAGTATTTATTTAAATAATAATAAAGTTACCTAAATATTGACTGTTATAATTGCACAAAATTCTTACTTTAAATTGTACAAATTGTATTAGATTTGATAACTTTAATATCAAAAGTAAACAGAAATATTAATAAATTAAATGCATTTATATCATTGATTATTTATTTATATTAATATTAAATATAATATTTGAAAATATTTCATAAATCAAATAAAAATATCTTAATTTCATGATAAATTTAATAATGTTTTCTAATAATCAAAACCAAATGTAACAGAATTATGCTCTAATTTACATTAATCATAAATATTAACGTTACCTCTAGTCATTTAAATAAATTAAATACTTTTATAATGTATAATAAATTTTATAAAATAATAATTGCAATGAAAAGAGATATTAATGAAAAATGTAATGTAATGTTAGGAACAGAATAACGATAGAAAACAATAGCAAAGAATATATAAAGCGTTGGAAGACTAAAGGACTTGAGAACTGGGAGTTAAGAGGAAGTGCACTGTAAAGCGAGTAAGTGGTGAATGAAAGCAATTTCCTCGTCGACAATGTCTACAATTGTCTGCATCTGAGTCTCGGATTTGGGCGGAGAGAAGGCATTCATCAATCACTGGGAAACGAGTGGAAAATCGATAGATCTGTGCATAAAATATGCAGTTATACGCCCTTTGGGTTCCTCCAGACCCTCAACTGACAGGAGCTTAAAGTGAAAATACAAGCGAATAACACATTTCTATGCTTTCATAGCAAAACATTGCATTCAATAATGGATCTGAATTTAAAAGACAAATTCAACTACTTTTTCATTGCAGACAACAATGTGATGGAAATATTGGTTCAAAAACCAAGTCTTACATAAATCCCACCTCTTATTAGTTTGTGTCCAACACTTTGTGTTGATTTTTTTGTGTTTCAGTTTTACAACTGTATATAACTTACTATTGATTTGTTTGCTTTAATTCTCTAGTTTTTAATCACTTGTATGTTGTGTTTAACAATGTTTTAAATTTCGATTTTTATAAATCACTACAACTTTATGTTTGATAACAAGTTTTTGGCAAATATTATTGAAACTCACCAAATGGTATGAATCCAAGTATTAATAAAGATCTAATAATTAATTCTTATACTTAATATTTTAATCACACATTAATAAATATTTTATTGACTTTATTACAAATTATAAACAATTTTATATAATATATAACAACTGTAAGACTTGTCAATAAAATTGTGTATAATTAATATAAAACTTATATAAATTCTGTGTTTTGTTGTAAAATCTCAAGAACTTACATATTGATAACTCAAAGTATAAACTAAATAGCTATCAAATAGTAAATAACATACACGTGTGTTGTCTAAGACTGGGGACTCAAAGTGAGAATTAATAAGTCTCTCAAGAAAGACATTAATCTGAGGGTTAGTCTAATACTGTATGAATGGTAAGAATGTGTGCTCTTCTGCTAATATATGATGTAATGTATGACACGTTTGACAACTTTATTAATGTCATCATTCATGAAGTCATTTAATAATAATTGAATTCATCCAATCGGCTAATACTCGGTTAACATAAATATTTTTAATACAAGATTATGTCTTACAATGAATTTTCTGGATATCATTGTCATCCGCAACAACTGTCAACTCAGGTAACCATTTGACAAACTATTGCATGATTTTTATGTTTAATATACTGTATATGTTTAGAAATTAATTTACAACCAATCAACCTTGTTAAAGGCTAATTTGAGAACACTATTACTGTTAATGTAAACAATTAAGATAACATTCAACTAGATTGTCTTATTACAACGGTAATATTATTTTAATCCTAAATACAGTAATCTATTGTATGGCAAATAACTAATAATCAATTCTATAAACAAAAAATAAAATGAATAAATATTTATAACTATTTATTGATTTTACACAAATGTTGCCTTGGTCATAAACAATTATTTAAATATTGATTTATCTAATATTAGTGGAAAATAATTGCTGTCAATAAAGTTTACGGCGTCTGTAATATAATAAAACGACTAAATATTTGTAATGCAATCCACAGACAACGGGCAGAGACAGGGAATGGTATTTATTTTTGAAAGAATTTTAGCCATAAATAATTAGTTGAGAAACAGATATAAAACAATCAATTTGTTTTACTTCTATATTCAATATATTGTTTCATATGACTTCATAAAATGTTATTTTTATTAGATTTAAATTTATTGATTTTGTTTTGAATATAGTTTTAAATTAAATACTAGTTTTAAACTTATAAGTTAGAGCACATGCATTATATGTAATCCCGATTTTTGTAACAAATACCCATTCAATCAGTTGTATTCAAGTTTTAGTTTTTTATTATTATCTTTGTATTGAGATATTTAATACTCTTCAGAGGACTGTGTCTTTCAAATGGTTTTAAGTGGAGATACCATTAGTTTCTGTGTGTTTGCAAACATAGCTGTGATGTCATGTCATTTGGCAAATATAGGCGGTCACTGAACAGACAGCACCGGCCGTGTGTTGGCTCAGATCACGACTAGTTTAGACAATAAGCAGCCAATGTATACACAAATCTAGTTTTGTTTTAAATTGATTTCTGTCTTTCCTCTCTAAACGCACTGTTTATTTGCAGTGAAATAAAATGCAATCAAATTTATTACTCATAGCAATGAGAGCAGCAAATGTCTGCTTTCGGTTTGAATTGTTGTACTGATTGTCATTGTATTAACAAATAATAACAAGTGTTCCCTAATTGTGACCACTATTGACCACAACTGTCTGTTCCCAACCATAGCTCTCATTAATGACTTCAAACTCAAACAACTCGACGGCAGACTCTCCCTGTTGTTCGTCGACCGGAGGCACCGATAGTCTCCCTAATTGTGACCACTATTGACCACAACTGTCTGTTCCCAACCATAGCTCTCATTAATGACTTCCAACTCAAACAAGAGCTGCCGTCTGAGAGGGACAACAAGCAGCTGGCCTCCGTGGCTATCAGCGTTATTATCGGTTTGGTTACGTGGGTTGTTAAGTTTGTACTTAAATTTGGGTTGGCTGCTCTGTTTGGTAAACGTCCCAACTGTCCAGCAGTCCACCACTCCTTTATCTCCATCCACTTCATCCGTCTGTGCGCTCACCACTCCTTACGACTCAAGACTCATATCAGGACACTATCCAAGACTCGGATCTTTTTATGGCTCCTCTTATACGGAACAGAACTCTTTTTATACCTCCGGAACCAATCCTTTTTACTCTTCATTTGTAAGTCTCATCTCATAAAAAATCCCATAAAATTTTGTTTAAGGAGAATGTGTTAAAACAGGGAAATCCTTACGATTTAAAGGACCCGAATGGTAATCCCGGTTGGGGAACATTACCCCAGACCACGTGCTACCTCTACGACCCCATATATAGCCCATACAGTGAAAGGTATGGAGCGATGGACGGAGTGTCCCGACGCAAGAATGTGACCCGAGATTCGACCACTACTCTCAAGGCATGGCTCAGCGAACACCGCAAGAATCCCTACCCAACCAAAGGGGAGAAAATAATGCTCGCAATCATCACTAAAATGACATTAACTCAAGTGAGTACTGATTTTAAGGCTTTACTTTATATACATATCTTTATTGATATATAAATTAGATTTTAATGTTTAACAGAGAAAAACATTTTTATGAACTTTTTTCTGTTTAATTGAAAGAATCAAATTTCGTTTCACTAATTACTCGTTACGAAACATAAACAAAATATTATACTTAAAAAGGAGAGTAAAATTTGATTTTCCTTAAATGTAAACTAAAATACAATCTTTTCGTCGAGTGATAAGACTAACCGCACTCTTGAATATCAAAGAGAAATGTTTATTATACTTGAAATATAATCTGATATCTTATATAAAAATACCAAATATTATTCAAACACTCAATTTTTTATGTTTTGACATTAAATAGTCGTGAAATATATTAACGTTTTTACAACTTTTTATAACTTTATTTGTAAAGTCCTTTTGCATTCATATGTTGTACAGAATATAGCGTTGAAATCTAAACGAACACAAAATGTTTGGATATATCATAGATTATACAGTATATGGAAATTGTTTGAAAGCAAAAACACTTTTAATGTTATTATTATCTGTACATAAAATGACGATGATTGAAATTTGTTGACTGGAATGTGTATATATGTTGTCTATGTGGGGGAACACAGGTCTCGACGTGGTTTGCAAACGCCAGGCGCCGACTGAAGAAGGAGAATAAGATGACGTGGGAGCCCAGGAATAGGTGCGATGATAACGATGACGACGACATCCTCTCCAGCGATGAGGACAACGATAATAGCAAAGTGGAGACCACTCTTCCCGATGGCCAACACAGCCAACACACCGCTAATCACAGCAATAATAGCAGTTTGAGTGAAAGTAGAGTTTGCAAAGATTTGCATATTAGCCGCCAATACATGGATCCGATTAAAGGTTTGTCTCTACTATTTATTATCTCGTTATAATCGTTGCGATTTCTATAGTATTACAAGGCATTAGAGCCGTACAGCCGTTTCGTACGGATATAATGGTATAACATTACGTCGCCTAACCATTGGCTCTGTTTGTGTTAGCATTTCATTCAAATGTGTCTTACATTTGAATTTATACTGTATTTCCTGATAATCATAACAATTATTGGCGACAAAAGCTCATTGTTTTAAATGTGTAATTAAATCCAAATGAATGCCAAATATTTGAATGTCTAATATAATGGGTGGTCTGTTAAAAGTCTTGAGGACTCTTAAAAGTGAGTCCTTTTGTATTCACGGTATGGAAAGGGAGAGGAATTGATAGTGTGTTTGAATCGTAGAATAGGGTTCATATGTCTTAAGCCCCCTATCGTTAGATCCATGACTGGATCGTATGGTAAGGCCATAAGCCGGTTGTGCTAAGCGATGGGTCCATTCATTTTGTGCTAATCAACTAAATTCTGAAGTCATATCATTCTTTGAGAACTTCCTTCTGACAAATCAAATGTCAGACAAAAATTAGTGAACAGTTTGTTATAAGTGAAGAACACAGCAATCATTTCAATACTGTTGCCAGTGTTAGTCAGTGGTGGTGGTAGTGGTGGCAGTGCTGGTCATTACAGATGCAAAATCACGCTCACAGAGAAACAGAGACTTGAATGAGATATCCAACTGAGCCCTACACTGGCATACAGTGCCAGAAAGCACAGGAATTCGTCTCAATCACCCATTGAGAGAGAATGTGTGCTCAGAATTGTGGAGAGAGTGTGTGTCTTGTCTTAAGAGTACTTTTTTGCTGTATTTATATGAGTACAGCCACAGCACAGGGCCCTCACCATCACTTTGGCACTGGTTGTGCAAAACAAACACAACACAGCAGTCGCTTATATGGGAACCTATTTAGTAGACTTAGAATCCCAGTCAGTCATCCTCTCATAAATTTAAGTAATGCTAACTTTTTTCTAGTATTTTTACTATCACTACAACTACTACTCGTAAGTAATCGTCCGGAGTCTTGAGTCAACCCAAACCAACCTTCGACCTCTCCGTCTGCCTCCCAGTTTGCTCTCTCTCTCTCTCTCTCTCTCTCTCTCTCTCTNTCTCTCTCTCTCTCTCTCTCTCTCTCTCTCTCTCTCTCGTTTCTTAGGCAAACACTCAAGAAGTTAGTGTTTGTGTTTATGTTTGATGTTTTCAATTATATTCAATTAACTGCAAACTTGAAGAGAGTTTAACAACAAATATGAAAACATTTGCATTCATTTTCCCCATTGTTTACATCATTTCGATTGATTTGTTATCACAAAACTTTATCACAATTTAAACTGAAAAATTCTTTCAAAACTCTATGTTTTCTCTTATATTTTCTCTGTTTGTTAGATCTGTCTGAAAGATGCCATTCACTGCAAACAACGGGCAACTGTGCGATCGCACCGGCAATGAACGCAATGAACGCTATGAATGCAATGAATAGCACTTCACTAACAACTTGTTCGACAACTAATGATAATCTTCACCATCACTTCAATGTAAGATGAAATGCAAACATTCATTTAGACAACACTTCTTCATATGTTTTACACATTTGCCAATAAATAAGAATTTAATATACAGTACATTTTGAGAACTTTTCATAACTTTTTTAGGAATTAAATTGAATTTTAAACCACAATTCAGAATAACATACCATCCAATTTTAAGTCTACCCACCCCTCCCCCATCCTATGGCTAATAACATGGCATCTCATTTTAAGTCTTGGATCACCCAAATTGTAATTAAGCCGTAGTTTTGTTTGCAACCCTTGTTTATATAATGTATATTTTATGTATCAACAAATGTTTACCCATTGAAACATATGATGGTTATTACTAGCATTTCCAACACATGTAGTCAAACATTAATTATAATTAAAGAAATTGAGGCAAAAAATGAATTTATTTGAACATAAATTATAAGATATTTAATGACAAGTTATGCCACAAATACCACAACGAGAAATGTTAGCAATTTATTCTAGTTTTAAATATAGATTCAAATGATATAATAACTCATTTTTGAAACAAACTCAGGATAAATGCAATCCAATAAACAATGTAACTTGTTCGACAACTAATGATAATCTTCACCATCACTTCAATGTAAGATGAAATGCAAACATTCATTTAGACAACACTTCTTCATATGTTTTACACATTTGCCAATAAATAAGAATTTAATATACATTTTGAGAACTTTTCATAACTTTTTTTAGGAATTAAATTAAATTTTTAACCACAATTCAGTATAACATAACATCCAATTTTAAGTCTACCCACCCCTCCCCCATCCTATGGCTAATAACATGGGATCTTATTTTAAGTCTCGGATCACCCAAATTGTAATTAAACCACAGTTTTGTTTGCAATCCTTGTTTATATAATATATATTTTATGTATCAACAAATGTTTAGCCATTGAAACATATGATGGTTATTACTAGCATTTCCAACACATGTAGTCAAACATTAATTATAATTAAAGAAATTGAGGCAAAAAATGAATTTATTTGAACATAAATTATAAGATATTTAATGGCAAGTTATGCCACAAATACCACAACGAGAAATGTTAGCAATTTATTCTAGTTTTAAATATAGATTCAAATGATATAATAACTCATTTTTGAAACAAACTCAGGATAAATGCAATCCAATAAACAATGTTTGCCGTCTTAGGACTGCAATGCGACGAGTAAGCTCTGCACGTTGATTGAACAACGTGTCGTATTCCTCATGGCGGTTGGCTTGTTCTGCCTCAGCTCTTTCTGTGTCAGGCAATCTTGCACTCCTGACACGATTCCGGCGGCGACGGGCTGCACGTTGACGATTAGCTTGTTGAACCCATTGAAGAGTTTCGTCATACTCGTCCGGTTCAGTTACATGTCCCGGTTGTTCAATTTCCGGGAGTGACTCGATCCACGCGTTGGCCGCCTCTTCCGACAATTCCTGCTCCGGTTCGTCAGGAAGAATGCCTGTCTCCACCTGGCACACAAAGCAGCAGACCGTTGGAGGCGCATCACTACCGTATTTCACAGTAGCGTACGTCTTACACCAACTATCCCAACATACGGCACAGGCATTAGCCGAACATTTAACGCATGTCCAGGTACACAATTTTTTTTCACCGTCTTGACATCCAAGACACAATTGAATGCTAGAAAAAATAAAAATAAAAATAATGTAATTAATATCTAACATCTATTGAGCAAATTTGAATTAAAATACAAAATTATAAAACTAATAATAAATAAGAAATTTAAAAATAATGCAATATTAATTTCACGAGTCTATCATGATCAAATGTCTAGACAGTTTGATTTATAATTATAATTAATTATCTACTGTAGTTAAACACAATTACAAAGTTTTACCCTTATTTGATAGCTTATAAATGATAAAAGTTATAAATATATAAAATGTATAAATTATAACTAAAGAACTTTACAATCAGATATTAATAATAGGCAGGATGTTTTGAATACCAAGTAAATTGATACATACGGGATATGCGCTTTTCGTTAAAATAAGTTAACATAAAAAATCAATAATGTAATAAAAGAAATAAAGAAATTTTTGGTGACACCTAGTACTTACCGTTACAATATAATTTTATAATAAAATTTACATTACATTTACATAAAAAATAATTTTACGCGCGACAATATAAATTGGCAAGTTTTATACGTGACAATATTAGTTTACACGTTTTATACGTGACAATATTAATGTACACTTTTTATACATGACAATATCATACATAACATATTATAAGCCATGCGATTAGCAATAGTTATCCAGATTCACCACAGTGAGGAGCGCCGCAAAGCACCCCATTGGTCTTGTTCTAATAAATGCGCTCTTTCCGTTAAGGTGTGTCGACGACAACACCGATACAGCACCGCTTTTGCGGTCAGACACTGTTAGACATGAACATTGAGTCGGTCTTTGCGTAAACAAATCGGCCCATAAATAGCGGTAAGTATATGGCTATACCGGTAAGTTTGCACTAATCTCGTGACATTAATTTAGTGGACAAAAATAATAATTGCTATAATCTATATAAAATACATTAAATATTATTAGTTTATAAATTTATATTAAATAAAAAGTTTTGCTATCAGTTTATATAATTTACTAATATATTTAATATAGTTTTTCCCAAAAAGTTTTAACCGAAGGGTTAATGACTTTGATTGAAGACATAGTATTACAAAAATAGATAAAACAATTTTAGTTGTAAAATAGTTGCCCTTTAAATGTAAACTTTTAGCTAAATTATGTTTTATCGCCACTAAAATCTACAACATCTCACTCTTCAGCGTATATAACCTTTTACTTGATTGAGATTTTATTTACAATCACGTATGTTTTGGACTTATTTATACCAATAAATTGTATTAACAATATTATCAATAACCTTATTATCATTATTATGTATTAGTTTGGGATTTAATGGCAACTAATTTTCTAAATTACACTTTAAGGCAATATCTTTACATTTGCAGTACATTTTTGGAAAACGTTTTTTTAATATTTATTTGATATTTCTCTATATTTGACATAATTATTCTCAATAACATATACTTTATATACTTTTATTGTATATAATATTAAAACAATTAAAAATATAAATATTTGAATAATAAATTCAGATTTTTTGCTACAAAATATGCCATTCATTTAGAAAATAGTTATTATGTGCTTTGAATAATGAAAAATGCCGCGGCCGGGCAACAAATGACGTATAAATAAAAAGTTTTAAACTTTTTTCATTAAGTTTTCATGTTGTGGCCACAGATGGCCACATATGTCTTACAGACAATAGCAAAAACAACACACTTTTTATAATGTAATAAAATTGTACTTAAAATTGGGTTTAAAAACACTTATGGGAAAACAGTAGTACATTATATACCAGACAATGAATTACATGTAAAAATGCGTTCAATGCTAACACCAATTGATTTATCATTGATTTTCAAAAGTATTTGTTTACTTATTTTGAAATTAAAATAAAAACAGAGAAAAATTTGGATAGACAGAGATGTCGTCGGTGAAGAACTTTTGGTCACACTTTTGACAACTTTTAAGTGATATTATCAATAAATTTATCATATTCTTTAATATCCGCATTATGTAGACTATTTGATGTAACTTATTGTAAAATTTAAACCTAAATGAAATATTGATTGTTTAAAACTTGATTGCCTATTAACCCGTTGTCTATTTCTCATAAACATCTAAATATGTATTTCTTGTTAATTATGATTGAAAAGTTTTTTCTCATAAATGCTTACATAACATGTGTTGGAGAAAGAAGAGAAATGACCAGGAATTCATATTTTTATCATAAATAAATCAATAAATTGTGCACAAAATTTATCAATA